TCCTAATGTATAGTGCCACTTGTGATCAGTATTCATACTGCATAATTGTTCACAGAACAGTTTTGAGCTTGCTTTGTTGTAATACTTTACAAGTAAAACTTGGTTCAAAAAAAATCCTTCAAAATTGAATGGCTCTCTAGTACTTTCTCCTGAAAAGGTGACATAGATGCTGATGGTAAGGCAATAAAAAAATTCTCATGAAGACAATGGAAAGTATTATTCATGGTAAGATCATTTCTTTTATGGGGTTAACGATGAGACACAACTACAGACACCATGCTTCTCACCACTCCTCATATTCAGAAGTGCTGTTGAAGAGAGCAAGGGGCTTTCAGCTGCAGTGGCATGTATGTGTTTGGAGAGGACGGTACATGGGCTCTTGTTAGAATTCAGGCATCCCAGTCATGTTGTCCCTTAGGACATAACTTTCCCTGTTTTCCTCATTTATGAACTGGGAGAACAATGGGCCCTACCTGCTAAAGTTTCAGTAAAGATTAACTAACACAATGTACACAAAGCACCAAGAGGATGTCGGGTGGGTGAGATGTGCTTTATCTACGTGTACTCAGGTGTGTAAGACATGCTTTATCTACGTGTACTCAGTCATTATTGGTGCTATTCACCACGAAGTTTCTTCACTCTAAACTCATGTACATTTTTCAGAGTCTGCTAAGCTATCATAAAAACTGCTTTCCCAACTCGCTAGCAACAATGACAAAAAAAGGAATTCTCATCATTATCTTCTATTCTGGATTCATAAAGCACCAGGAAGGCATATTGCATTGCATGAGCATTAAATAATAGTATATTCTGCTCTGCTTACCAGATTAAATTAAGTTCTAAATACAGTGTATGCAGAGTGAATATGGTTGCCTATAAGAAGAAAACCATTTTAGTGTTTAAATTTGCGTTTTCTATGACATAAAATTTTGTAGAATGATGTACCAATGGAATATGGGTGAAATTTGAAAAAAATATTTTATCCTTATATATAAAAATATAGATTAGTGGTTCTACTATTTATTTACTAGCTTTGTGAATTTAATCAAATAACTTACATTCTCTATTATTTTATCTGTTAAATGAAAATAATAATGACACCTCAGGTTGTCCTAATAATGACAGGCTTGTAATGAGACAAATTAATTAATGAATAAAATATACACAGTAATAATTTACAAAGAATAAGAGCTGCTTGATGTTAGCTATAATTATTATTTTCCTACCTACTGTTGTATTTTCCATAGGAATGTTATAACACAAACATACATCAGTCATTTTACAGTATCATCCCCAATCCTTCCAGCTTCATCAGTGAAAGAAAGGATGTAGCAAAAGCAAAGTGGGTCTTGGAGCAATTATGATGCTTACTTTCATGAGCCTTTCTTGGAGAGAATTGAAAACAAAGAAAAAGCTTATCTAAGTTACTGGAGTAGTGATTTGTAAAGTACTTGTGTTTACTAAACCCATCTTACTTATATTTTGCAGACATTTTAAAAATAGTTCTCTGTTGGGGCACCTGGGTGGCTCAGTGGGTTGGGTTTCTGCCTTCGGCCTGGGTCACGATCTCAGGGTCCTGGGATGGAGCCCCACATCCAGCTCTCTGCTCAGCGGGGAGCCTTTTTCCCTCCACCTCCTGCCTGCCTCTCTGCCTACTTGTGATCTCTCTCTGTCAAATAAATAAATAAGATCTTTAAAAAAAATTCTGTTTTGAGGCTTTCAACCTATAGCTAATAAAAGAGAGTGTTTTTAAACACTCTCCTTTATTCTAGGATGAAAGTTCTAGGAGCTGAGCCAGAAACTTGCATTGGGCTGTTTTATTTAATCTTTGCAAACCACTATGAGGAAGTATATTAGTTTTTTATGGCTGTATCTAATTACCACAAATTTAATGCCTTAAAACAATACAAATTTATTTTCTTACAGCTGTGGACGTCAGAAGTCCTGAGTTGGTTTATAAATTGGAATAAAATCAAGGTGTATCAGGCCTGGACCTTATAGGGAGAAACTATTTTATTTCTAGAGGTAGACTCTATTTTCTGGCTTGTGGCCCCTTTCTCCATCTTCAAAGCACATCACTCCCATCTTTTTATCTTCACTTACTCCCACTTATAAGGATTCTTAGATTACATTAGGCCCATTTGGATGATCCAGGATAATCTCATCTCAAGGTCCTTAACTTAGTAACATTCACACATTCCCTTTTAACATTTATAGTAACTTATTCACAGATGCTGGGGATGGCACTTAACATCTTTGGGGACAGGGAATTTCAGCCTACCAGAGGTGGATACCATTATATTCATTTTGCAAATACGAAAAAAAAAAAAAAAAGTAGTGATTATGAACTCTTCATACACTGAGAAACAAAATTCCAAAAAGGCTAACTTACTCAACTCACAAAACTTAAAAGTGATCACCATCATACTACTGTAGGTCCTTCTGACCCTAATGCTGTTTCCACTACACACTTCTGCCCCTGAAGTAGGAAAAAAGACAAAGGATGGGTTCCCTCCTTATGTACAGATTTTTTCATTTTCTTTATGAGTTAAATATTTATTAAATGTTTACTGAATGGCTACTATGCCAATTTCTGGTGCTAGAAAGAAATATGAATCAGACTGAGTCAATAGCTATGTAATCAGAACTTTTCCCATGTATTTAAATTCCTGTAACTCTTCAGTCTACATTAAGAGTCCCAACCAAATTCAACTACCTAATTGAAAGCCCCAGTGTCATGTTCGATAAACCTTTGCAATTTGCCATGTCTGGAACTAAACTCTCAAATTTTTTTTCTATAATTCCTCAGTATTCACCAGCTCAGGAAACACCACCACCACACTCCCCCACAATTGATCAGTATTACAAATGCCTATATTTATCTCAATAATATATCCTAATCAAATTTACTTGTCCTGTTTTCATTACGTCCAGACTTCTGACTGGTATTTGCCTTTCCATTCTTGGATTGCCTTGCTTTCATCTCCATACATAAACGGGCATGATCTCATTAGAACATAAAATACTTCAACACCTACTATATTTATAATAAAATCCAAACTTTTCATATCAGACAGGGCCCCCACACATCTTTCTTTGTTTAGGACATTTGTGTGCCTGCTATCTTGGTGGAACTAGTGAACGAGCCTTCTTTCACTCCTAAAATTGTCCTAGTTGGATGATAAATTACGTGGTCACCATATCCAGAGGGTTCTGGTGGAATCTTTCCTCTGCCTAAATTTTCTTCTCATAAGCAAACTCTTCTCCGAGGACTTAATGGTGTCTGCCCTAAGTCTCTCCTATAATTATTTTTCTTCAAAATCTGAACCAAAGTATTAAGTATACTCCTATACTTAATTGTTTCATCTGTTGACTATTCATGCCATTAGGGTATACAAAGACAACCATGCCCATGTCCCTGTTATTTGCCCCTAAACACTTCAGGCAGCATAGTACCTGACACATGGAAAGTGTCTACAGATTTTTGTTGAAGGATTAATGACTAACTAAACTTTCCATACAGTCAGATAGTTTTGTAAACATTCAGTATAACATTTAAATAATAAAAATGTGTTTAGGATACCAGTGACTAAAACCAATACAGAATCAGAAGAAGTTGCTTCTGTTTGGAGAAAAATGTTGAGTAGGGAAGTTTCTATAAGGGAAGGAAGTCCAATCAGTGTTGATAGATGGAAAAGATCATGTTATGTGATCAAGGAGCTATGAGGAAAGATTTCTAAGCAGAAAGACTGGCAGTCACAAAGGCAAAATGGTTTAAAACAGTGTGATTATTCTGGGAACTCAAAGTAGTTTCTATTATTAGAGTGTACAGTCTTGCATAAATGATATATTAATGTCATGAATCCCTAAGGACAAAACCTAAATTATGAAGAACACTGCAGGAAACGTAGAGAACAGCAAAGAAATTTGAACCTTACTTTTGTTTTCATCTATAGTGTTAGGATGATTTGAAAATTTCTTTTGCCTGTTTAGCTCACCTTATAATTCACTGAAGTTTAGATATATAAATCAGTTTTTGAAATTAAGTCAAATTTTGATGTAAATAAAAGTTGAAACACAGAATTAAAACTCATCTCAGATCTATTTATCTAGGAGAAAATTTTCAAGAAATACTCTTGGTACAGATAATCAATAAATATGAGATAAACAAATAAATGGGTTATTTGGATATAAAAAGCATACAACAGAAGTTTCACACTGGTGGACTGCAGGACATAAATGCTTTGTTTGGCTTCCAGAACAATTCAAAAGTTTGAGCCAAGATTTAAATTTGGAGAAGTCACATTAAAAAAAAAAAAAAAATCCAGAATTCTGGCCCCTCTGAAAAATTGGAAGACCGCATAACTTTGGTGGGAAAAAAATGCAGTCCTACAGAGGGCAGTAGTAGGTGTTCTCCAGCTCATCACAGATGCCCGTCCCCATCACTCCAGGTGCTGAGATCCGTGGCACTCCGTTATGTACGTTACATGCCATGCCTTGCAAGATCCCAAACCCCCAACCATTAAAGACTAATTGAGAATTATCAAAATGTCCAGGAAAATATTTAAAACTTGTTGATTTGTAATACTGAGAACTGAATGTACCCACTATCTTAATAAAATCATCTAAAAATGGAACAATTCAGACATTCAATCTTTTTTTTTCTTGGATTTTGTTATTTAAATTATATGTAAAAAGAAAACAAAAACCAAACAAATTTGGTATAACTTTTTTTTTTTTTTCTCCTGACCAGTAAGCTATTTGTTTTTGCATCTGGTCCATATACCACAGTTGGCAATAAAGTAATCCAAAGATGTATAATATGTGCTTGATCTGTGCTTTGAATGCAAAGACTTCCGTATACCTTCCAATATAGCAAAAGCAATTTATTTTACTTAAATCTATTGAAAGACTAAACATATTTTCAATATCCATACTACCCTAGAATAGGAGAAAGCAAGCTAGGAGAGTTATCTCCATAGGAAGTGTTGGACACTTACCTTAGCTATCTGGACACACCAGTTAAGCAGCAGCTGGGATCCAATGTTATCCTTGTGTTCATGGACATAGTCCAACAGGCAGCCATGGGGCATAAGCTGTGTAACCAGCTGAATGGTTGGGCTCAGACACACACCCAATAACCGGACTAAGTGTGGATGGTCCATACTTGCCATGATCAAAGCTTCCTATAAAAAAAAATTAATAAATAACACCATCATTTCAACTCAAATTTCCTTGTAGCTCTATATTAATGGTGCTGATCATAATTTTGAAAATGTACTCATTCGATGGAATAAATTAAAAATGAAAAGACATTAATGCAGCTATTATATTCTTAAAGTGATTTAACTCAAGTAAAATTAAGTGAAAAATAAAGACCACTTTTGTTAAAATGGAAAATGTTATAGATTTAAATGCATATAATATTAATATTAGTGTTTTCTCTTTTGCAATATGCATAATATTTGATTTTATTTACTGCTAAATTAGTTGATACTGAATCCTAGCTTATACTGTGGATTTTTAATTTTTGGTCTTTCGTTCTAGAATACAATAATCTATACAAATGCAATTGTTTGAACATTGTAAAAGGTGACCCAAAGTTAAATCATCCATTATTAGTATGGATTTAGAGAGCATACACAGGTGTAATTTATAAATTATAAATATCAAAACTTAAACAATTATAAGCAATATGCCATTGTGGATTTATGCAGAAAAATAAGCCTTTTAATAAGACATTTTATTCCCTAACTTTATCTTTATTCAAATTTATTTCATTTCTAAAATTATAAGTGATGTATTATTCATAGAATCATAAAATTTGAAAGCTAAGTGAGACTATAAAAAATTGTCTACTCCAACTTTATTATTTCATAAAGTGAGAAAACAGCTCTAATTTCTTTATCATAATCATGTCACTTTGGTTTAATGAAGATAAAATTGTACATAACGATAGTTAAGTAGTGCATCCTAAAGTTAGCCTCTAGTTAAAAGGTATTTTAAGTATCTTTACTACAATTTGAAACAGATAGGACCACACACACACACACACACACACACAGGGGGTGGCACATATATGGCAATTTATTATCAATCAGTTTACACTGAAGCCATGAGGATTATTATTTATTGTAGCATTCTTGAATATTTTCTGTAACTTTAAAATTTTTCAAAACAAAAAAAATTGAGGACAGAAAGCTATATTGACCTTTTGGTTAAGATGTCATGGCAGATTGAATATACAAATTTACTTCCATTTCCTCTCAATTCCACTATACTAGCAATAAAGGAATCAATAAAGAGGTAGACACCAACAGTCATAGAGAGGAGGCAATGAAGATAGAATAACAGGAGCAGGATGTGGCTTACTAGTCGTAACCAATCAGCATACATAAGACACCTCAACCCTAATGCCGCAGGGAGGGAAACGGAGAAGAAATCCAATTCGGACCACATGTGTACACCACCAAAGGCACAATTAGTGTTAGCACCACAAATCTCTCCAAATGGAGCAGGAGGGAGAAACTGACATCAGCAGGATCATTTCAAAGCGTATTTAGGAGGCACCTAAATACTATCCCTCTATCAAAAGGACTGTGGACTACAGATAGTAGGCAAAATGGAAAGAGAAGTACTCTGATGAAAATAGCAGGATTATGTGAATTTATATGTGGAGAAAATTGGGGCCACCTTCCAGTTTCTTCTCCTAAATGGAACTGTGACTTCAAAATTCTGAAGCTTAAAACTGTTTAAACCTCAAATTCCAAATCCAGCAAAATTTCAATTAAGTGGGTGGATATACAGATATGTTCAGGTATGTCTGTTATTAAACTTATCTCAGGGGGCTGAGTCTGGATGGCTCATTCAGTTGAGTGTTGGACGACTGGTTTCAGCTCAGGTCATGATGACAGCGTCATGATATCAAGCCTGGTGTTGGGCTCTGGGCTCAGCACGGAGTCTGCTTGAGATTCTCTCCGTCTGCTCTCCCCCCATATATGCTCTCCCCCTCCCCCAAATAAATAAACCTTTAAAAAACTACAAACTTATTTCACGTACTTCCTTTCTCTGTTAGATGTGTTTCTTATATAAGAGGGAGCCATTAAAAGAGTACATTTAATTGAAGAAACAGAAAATGACAGTGAAGGGATATTCCAAAATAAAAACTGTATAAGAGACCAAGACAGCAGTCAGACCAGAATGGAGTGAGACATAGTGATCTGGAAAAGGTAATCCAAGAAGATGGAGAAGATAGAATACCTAATGAGTTTAAAATACATTTTAAATACATGTATATTTGGCACAAGTTGAAGGTCAAATTAGGATTGATGCACAGAAACCTAAGCAAAAATAAAATGAAGAAATTGATTTGATGTACAGTACAAGACATACACAAGAAAGAAAATCATGTATTCATTATAAAGCGTTACTGGGAATAGTTACATAAGCATAAGGACATAAATACAGAATGTTTAAATATGCAAACACCATACTACTATCCTGGAAAATGAAGGGAAGGGAGGTATACTATAATTCTGCAAGGGGGTGATGGGAAGAAAGTGAAAGGTACATTCCTGTTGCTCCTAGTGACAAGTTAGTATATGATGCATAAAATGGAAAAATCAAGAGTTGACAATGTAAGCATAATATTTAGAAACAGAATTATATGAAAAAAATAAATTGCTGAGAAATTGTAAGTGATTACTTTGGGCAGTGGAAAACAAGCAGGGAAAGGAATGGAGAGTCACTCTAGACTTCTGTCTTTTATTATTTGCCTTATAGAAGTATTTGATTTCTATTATTATTACCTTAGAGCTATTTGAGAGGACACTATTAACTCTTAATCTCCACTACTGTTTTAGTGGTGTTGATTTCAGTTGACTCTAAAGATTATTGACAATTATTGTGTATGTCTGATGGAGTATATGGATTGACTGGATTCAGCCAGCATCTTAGGTGAGGTATAATCTTTTACTATTTTGAGCGAGGACGAGTGGGGCAAAATGGGCAAGTGTCTTTGAGAAAGAAGGGAGATAAGGTCAAACAGAAACAAAAAGCTGGTAAAAAGGTGTCGGCCCAATCCAAAAGATTGTTTTTGAGCCTCTGTGAGCAGAAGTTGAAATTGTTGTTTTCCAGATGGCTTTCAAGTAGATGTTACAATTCCCCCTTCCTTCCTCGGTGGCCCCAGGGAGCCGGAGTCATAGAACGGGGGAAAATAACAGTGTCTATGCTTCCTTGCTCAGCCCACGACAACAAGGGCAGCCCATGGAGCACTGGTCTGGCAAGGACACTGGTTTCCTCAGGTGCTGCCAGTCAGTGGTGGTACCAGTCCACGGTGCCAGGCGGAGGGTCTTTCTGGCTCAACGAGGAGAGAATCTCCACATGGGGACCAGGCTGGTAAGGAAGGACACTGCAAATATCACAGGAAGACTGTGACTGGGACATTGGTTTATAGTTACATATGAGGCACCCAGGAAGTGCCCAAACTATATGGGGGGACTCCTTTAGGGGTTGGAGTTTCTGCATAATCAGCAAGACCAGAAATTTGAGTAATTTCTATGAATAGGGCTCCATTTGGATCTAAAAGGTCAAAACATTTTGGGTTTACTTACTTTATATTTTAGTAAACATTTGAAATAAGGCAAATCCATGTAGTTATAAGGAGAGTACAGATAGTAATGTTAACCTAGTAATATTGTATTGTTATTAATTATAACATTAGTATTAAAAGTATAAACCAGAGGGTTTATACTTCACTAAATTATGATATGCACACATATACACCAACAGATAAGCAAAACATGTAATCAAATTAAATATCTAATTTAATTAAGTACCAAATTAGATATTATCTAATTAAGTTAAATTTATACTGATTTCATTTATTCTGTTTCTCTTCTAGTGGCTCTCAGTCTTTTATGAGCATAACAATCACCCTGGATTATCATTACAGGTAGCTATCCTGGCCCCACTCCCAGATAATCAGGGCTAGAAATAGATCAGGAATCTGCATTTGTAGCAAGCTCTCCAGATGAAGCTACTGTAGGAAATATGAAAATTGCAGACCTCTGGAACATTGCCTTAAGATGTATCTATAATCCACTGCAAACATAGTAACTTGCAGTTGTGGTTTGATCCCCACTGTAACACTAGAAGCAGTCAAAGGACGTAGTAATTCTCAGTTTTGAAAGGAGAAAACCAAAGCTGGGTGGGCTTACTGCCCAGGTTATATTTGATAAGTACCAGGATCAGGTTTAAGATTCAAGGTTTCTGATTCTTAGTGCAGTTGCTTCTTCTTATGATACTGTACTTAATAAATTTCAGTTCCATCAGCACTTTGCACTGTAGATGCTTATCTGGTTAGCAAGAAGACACCTCCAAAAACCTGAAGAATTGGATCAAATTGTATTATATTTCCTGAGGAGCAACTAAAATCAAACAACAAATTTGCATTAAAAGGTAAACTGCCATCACTTATAATATGCTTTCCGAAAAAGCCAAAGAAAACATATATCTCTGATTTCCTGAGAGTATTACTTGGTACAGACCATTTCTTGAGAAAGAAGGTGATGGAATTTAAGGTAAAAGAAAGATTTAGGGTTATTTAAGGCCTCTTTTTCAGGGTGAAATACATAAACAATTTTTTTCTTTTACAACTCAAGGAGTAATGATAATTCCATTCTAAATATGCCTGTGAAAAGTTTACATCAGAAGAGTGTAAAAAAGTCACATGAAAGTTCTCTTTTAAAAAATCTATTAGTAAGTCCTGGCAAAAAAGCTGGGGTTGTATTAAGGAAAATTGCTCATCACACTACAAAGGGTATTTGAAACCAAATTGCAGAGTATTTGCATAATAGTTCTCTTTTTTTGAAAAAGAAAAGATGAACAAGACACTAATTGTAGGTTTTATTTTTTTCATAAAGGAAATAGCAGATGGCTTTTTTGGGGGATAGGGAAAGAGATAAAGAAAAGAGAACGTGGATTCATTTAGAGTGATGAGTGGGATGGAAAGGGAAAAAAATTCCAATATTTTAATAATGGAGTGTTGGATTTCAATGAATTGCTCTGTGTTGAAGTTAATAACGTCCCCTGTTACCTATAGCTGTGTGGGGCCTATGGAAGCAATTTTGGAATCTTCGCTGCTGTCACTAGAAAATGTCACCCAAGGCCACTGGAATAAATACAA